TGACTTAGTTTTCTATAAGGCAGCAGCAGGTTCGTTGTCAGCAACAGTGTTTTTGGCATTACGGTCTGCGCGCGCGGCGTTGTCTGCGCGCGCGGCGCTGTTGGCATCTGCCTGCGGCTTGGCGCTGGCAAAGGATATCGGTGGGGCGACAGAGGCACCTGCACGCTTGTCACTTGGCGCGGCCAAGACCACGGGGCCGTCCGTGGCGCTAGGCATTAGGAGGCTTGCTAGGACGCCACGGGGCGCGCCCAAGGGGTCATGGGGTATGGCTGGAAAGCCGCCCATGACACTATACTCGCCTGAGAACTCTTGTTATAGGCGAACGTAACCAAGGATAGATGTCTATCCCAACAACCTCGAAAATCAAGGAATTACCTCCAGATAGCCTCTAATGCCTGGATGGTCTCTTAGACAGGCCATCGGTGAACATCTCATCCTTTTACAAAGTATATATAACTAACTAAAACTATTAGTTTAAGACTAAGCAGTACGACTCCTCCTTAATATTCTTATAAGATCTCAAGAGATAAATGGTTAAACTATACACAAATGGATAATCTATTAATGAGCATCTTCACTCTTATTCTACAACTTATTAGTGACGAATGAGAGATACACTATTATATTTTCTTGCGTTAATTATTTTCTTTAGATTATATCAATAATCCATTTTTTATTTTGGCATATTTTTTTTCCAAAACTCGATCCTGGAGTTTTTAAAAATTAAATAATATTTTGAATTGACTTAAATGGAAATTAAAAATTGAGTTAAAATGAAACCATTATTGAAGAACACGTGAAAATATTATTTACACCTCAGCACTAAAACAAAGCAATAAAAAAATATTACGTAGTAGTACCAACAGTATCTAAAGCAAAAGCCAATTCATTTTCGGAATATAGAAAGCGAAAAAAAAGAGGTGAAAAATATTACATTCCTCAAATCTATAAAAGTTTCAAGAAACGCTCAATATAGAATATAATTTTTTCAATCTTGCCTTGAGTGCCTTATGATTGACTTTGAGTTACTTCTCTATTTATATATAATATGATATACAAGCTGGAGAATATTAATAATTTTAATATTACTAATTATTAAAAGTGAATATCATTAAATATTAATTAAGTTAAAAAAATGGGACAAGCCTAAAGCTCATAAAGTGGGTTGTTGGAAGGCTAAAGGCTTAAAGCCAATGCTCGTTCTGTTTTGTCGCGCAGAGCAAAAGGCTTAAAGCCTTATACGAAATAAGGCATCCACGAAACATCCTTGCTGCTTACTCACGCAGGCAACAGATAGTTCAAGTTTTCTTTACAGATCACTAGTTCTTGAATTCAGGTATAAAAAATTTTCTATTATCAATTATCCTACAATTAATAAAATTGTTCTCGCTTCGCTCGATTATAAAAGACATTACTCAATTTTTAGTATAAATTTTATAGAAATAGAAAGATAAAAATCTTCATATGTATGCCTATAAAAAATAATTTTACATATGGTGAAATAAGAAGTATAATATATTTATTATAATTGAAACCTTCATGAACTATAGTTTTCATTAGTAGATTTTCTTCAAGAATGGGAAAGAAAAAGAATTGTTGAGGAAAAGAGAAAAGAAATTAATGATATAGTAAAACTTGGGCGAACAAACTTGAGATGTTATTGTCTTTTTTCTTCTATACTCCCTCTTTATATATGCGTGTATGTCTTTATCGACAAAGTATTGATTCCTAGCGGTATTAATCTTCTTTTTTACGGTCAAACCTATTTTCTTGACAATGAAAAAGAGTATTAGGGGTAAGTTATTTTCTTCTTATCTTCAAATTTAATCTTTATTCTAACAGGAAGCCTACACATCTCTCTGTCCTCTTTCATTCATGTTACAATTCTCGTATTAGAAAACTATATAATTCTAGATTATATAATAATTTTGTATTTTATAATATTATAAAATAAGCCCATATATATATATATACCCATTTAAATTATGACACAACTCTTGGAACCCTAAATTAGGAAAATTTAAGATTTAAATTCTTTTGTAATCATATATAAGATCAACCTAAATATTCGAAAATTTAAATTGCTTCTTCAAGACAATGAAATCACATTGTGTCAATTTTTTTTAAACAATAAAGTCACAAATTTATAAAACTGCAAAAGAGTATAAATTTATCCTCAGATTTAACAATGGTGGAATAAATAGATGAAAGTGTTCCTTCAATTTTATAGAATATAATATTATTCGACTAATAATAACTAAAACCAGAAGTTACAAAAATGGAGGAAGAAAATTGAATGTGAAATCGTGTGTTAACTATTTTGTGGAATCGTCAGTTAACTCTGTCCAACGACTTAAAAAAGAATTCCCTTCATATAGCTATTGCTGCCATAGCCAGAGTCGTTGTTTGGAATAATTCTCTCCAAATAGCAATTGCTGTCATCGCCAGAATCGTTGCTTGGAATTCCCTTCATATAGCTATTGCTGTCATCCTGTATCTCTGTATTTTCAGTCTCTTCACCGCATATCATAATATAGTTTGCAATGTGGCCACTAGTTTCATTCATTTAGTACCAAAAACTGAAAAATTTGTGAATGTCTTAAAAGGAATATTGTGGATAGTTAATGAAAGTAATAATTATGGAACAAAACAGTTGTCTACTATTCCGTTTGTGAATGAAAGATGTGTCGCTTTGTTACCTCACTATTACAACTCTTTAATGCAGTCACAACTCTTCATAATCTTTTTTATATAACAAATAAACAATTGAAAAGAGGAAAAGAAGCAAAGAATGAACAAAAAAGGTCAAAAAAGGAGAAAAAAGAAAAATAGGATCCTTGGCTTAAGAGAGGTGCCACCTCACTTTCCTATTTACCTCTTTTATATATATAGATAGATAGTAGTAGGTAAGAATTAAATAGTTAACTCCCTTTTTCTGTGTATCAACAGTAATTAGTTCCATGTTTAGGTGTGCAACTTTAAAATTAATTAATTGGAACTTTCGAAGCATAAAGTCAGGATAATTGGAACTCCCGAAACATAAAGTGAAGTATTTTTTTTAGATAAGAAAGAAAAAGAAAAAAAGAATTTCTTTTAGAATATTCATAAACTGTTGTTATTCAATTATTTTAGAATTGTTCTTAGAAGCTTTATGTTTTCCATGCATTTAGAATATTTGTTTGTAATGTATATTTTATCAAAGTTTCGTTTCCTGTCGTTAACAGCTTGTTTGGATGGTTGTTACGTATCGTTTCATAATGTATCGTATTGTATTGTATTGTATTGTACTGTATCGTTTGATGAATACAATGTTTGGATGGATCGTGTCGTTTTGGCGTCGTTTCATGGTATCACGCACCTGTGATATGATGAACAAACTTGCAATATTATAAAGAAAAATTATGATACGGTATATAAAAAGGTAGGGTAAATGATAAAATACAATTATTTAATAATAATGAAGGGTGAGATTGAGAGAAAACACAAGGAAACGACGCGACCACACCAAATCGGTCGTTACATAAAGTGGCACATTTCATCGTTACGTAACGACGTATTTAACGATACGATACAGTAAAATTTAAGTAACAATCAAAATAAACATTGTATTTAAAGTAACAATACGATACGATACGATATGTAACAACCATCCAAACAGTCAATAAGACTCACTGAGTACAATGGATGATAATTATGTTATTTTTTGGGAACCTGCATTGGTCTGCGGTACAATGTAGGAATCCATTTTGCAGGCGAACAGGTTAGGACTTCCCTCACTTCCAATGCAATTGGTGAGCACCGCTTTTGTCCGTGGAGTATTCCTTTGAGTCGTCATTATTTTGCTATTTCTTTGTTTACTTGGAGATCTGGCCAGGAAATCTCATGTTTTGAGCAATGTGTCAGTTTATCAGTAGAGGCTTCATAGACACAGTCGGTGGGTTAAGATTTATGTGTTTTTGATAATAATTTCGCAGTATTTCAGTAGTTACTCCGAATAAAGTTTTGAAGTGGATTTATTTTAGATATTCAAATTAATTAAAAGTATCTGATTTAAGTATTACCTTGTTACATATAAAGTTTGAAGTTATAATAATTTTGATAAGCACGAATGATTACCTCCGTCAAACTTAGCGATCGGATCCGTCACACCTTGTTCAAAATATGGGCCGTGACAAAAACGACACTAAATGGAAAGATAAGTGCATTTTCAGCTTTGAGAGGCGCTATATTACCGACCTTAGCCTACCTAATATGGCTATACCCATTTATTTTAAACATTGAATTTTAAATATAAAAGAGAAAAAGAAAACATATAAAAAGAGAGGTGAGTTGGGGAAGAATATTAGTGGGCTTTTGGACATAAAAAATGTGATTTTTGAAAAAATTAGTATTTGGAATTAAGTTGAAAAATAATATTTGAAATTTAAATTATGTTTGAACTGATATTTTATTTGCAAAAATATTGCAGTTTTGTGTGCAAAAAAAAAATCAAAAATTTGAAAAAGTGGTCAAAACTACTTTTTGATTATTGAAAAACCCGTTTTCGAAAAATCTCCATAAACTTACAAAATTTTATGAACAAACACGTATTTGAAAAAAAAAAGAGAAAAAAATTATGGACAAACGTGTCCTTAGTCATAATATACATACAAAGGTCTCCGATTAGGAGGAATTTTATCCTTAAACTTTAGCAGAATTAACTGAAATAGTCACTCACCCAATCACTTAAACTTAAAATAATCGGCAGATATATAATATATGAATAATTTATGTATAATATTTGTATAATCGTGTATAATTATTGTATAATTTATATATGCTGGCTAGAAAAAGTAAACAATGAATTTGATTGGATACATGTAATAATAAACGAAAAAGGGCCAAATTGACCCTGTACATCTGCCTAGGATATTTTTGTCTGTCCATTAATAGTTAGTTATTTGTTGCCCCTGTCATTTATAAAACTGGCATATGTTTGCCCCAATAATTTGACAAAGATTCACTTTTGCCCCTTTTCAATAAAAAAAGTCATCACACATACGGCTGCTAAGCTGAGTATTAAGAGGCAGACTCCTCCATTTTTGTTTGTTGCACCCAATTCCACACTCCAAAAGCCACCACCACCAAATTAAAGGTGTTCTGGTTTGTGGAACCATTCCAATCATGACGTACGCTACTCACGTTCTTCGTCACTCCAAAAAGGTAAGGTGTGATTCTTCAGATTTCCTTTTTCTTTTTGTCTAATTTCAATTTGTATCCCTAAAATCTGCTTAATTTTGAATCTGATTTACAATTGTAGTATGATCCATATTAGTCCGCAAATTGTTGTGCCGAATTTTAAGTCAATCGAGTTTGGAATTCGTGCTATTCATTTATATTAGATTGAACGAGGCGGATTTTGATTTGATAATCACAAGCTGGTTGAGCTGCGATTTTTTTTTAAGCCAGCTTGCGCGCACCTCGATTATTACACTCTACCTCCCACCAGCAGCTCTTCCCATCCAGGCTTAGAGGCAGATGGGAGATTTGAATTCGAGACCTCATGTGCCATACCCTTGGATGCGAAAAAAGATCTTTTTAGTTTGTTTTTGTCTTGTAGACTTTTGGCATATGGTTTGCTGCTAGATATTAGTCATATGGTGAAATCTCAAAGCAATTGGTCAAACCATTTCAGAATGTCACATCACATATATTTGCTATCTGTATTTTTAGTTATTTTTTCCAGTCTCTCGCCTTCTCTTTCTAGGTAATACGTATTTCATCCTATGTTGCTCGGACTCTTCAAAATCCCTGGTATGCCCGTGTCGACACAACGTGGGTGTGGCCGTGTGGTCCACATCGGATTTGGTCAACTTACTTTGATTAAATTTATGACCAAGAAGAACTGATTAATAGGGCATTTGGTTTGATTTTTAGGTTTATGTTACAACAACAACAACCTATCACATAGTGGGGTCTGGGGAGGATAGTGTGTAGACCTTAACCCTACCCTTGTGAGGGTAGAGAGGCTGTTTCCAATAGACCCTCGGCTCAAAGTAGTTTATGTTATATATATATATAGTTGTAGTTTATAAAGTATGAGAATGCTTTTGCTATTACACGAGACATCTTATGAGTAAAATATTAGGTGTTCATAAAGAATTAAGTTAGTTTTAATTTAATAGCTTTAGTTAATCTAAATATATACTCGGTAATATACATTTATTAGTCGTATCCCAGCACCCGAATCCGCACTCGGATCCATACTAGGGGTGGGCATCGTTCGGTTCGGTTATGAATTTTATCGGTTTGGTATATCGGTTATCGGTTTATAATTATGCTAAAACGATAACTGAACCGATAAGATATCGGTTATCGAATTAATCGGTTATCTATTATTATCGGTTTACCCGATAGGATAACTCAATCTAGATTCTAGAGGGAAGACGTAATGAAGGATAATGTGTACTGTATAAAGAATATGATAAACTTTCTCGACTGTTGTAACCCTCTAAAAGAATATGATAAACCTTACAACATTATTTCTATGTGTTGAATGACAAATTTGGGTGGGTTACAACAGTAGATAGAGAATTGGGAGAACTGGAAAATTTATATACCTAAGGGTAAAATCGTTTTTTTATAAAGTTTATTGGGCTATCGGTTAAACCGTTAATAAAATTAGGCAAACTGAGACCCGAATCGATAACCCAATTGTAAAATAACACTAAACCGTTACCGAACCATTAACCCGATAACCCAATAAGCTTTTTTTGGTTCGGGCTATCGGTTTTACCCGGTATATGCCCAGCCCTAATCCATACCCCATATCCTAAAACTTATGTGATGAAGAATGTGACCTTTATATCCGCACCCGTATCGGATACCCACACTCGTCCAAGCAACATACATTCATCTTCTTCCCTCACGAAGTTAAAGAAAAAAAGAAAAGAAAGGGATATACTTTAATATGATTAGAGTATAAAATATGGGTCTCAAGGTTTTTGGACTACGAAAGTAGTGCTGCATTATATGGGGTGGGGTTATGGAGGAGTACTGGAGCTCTATGGAAAAATATTGTTGGCAATATTGGTTTTGTGGTGGGTGATGGAAGAAGGATTGCTTTTTGGGATGATATTTGGATTAGGCATGCTCCCTTAAAAGAATTATTCCAGATCTTTTCAGACTCACGGTTTTACCTGATGCTACTTTGGCCATTACTAGAGGGCAGAAAGATGGAATTTTCAATTTTAGGAGACATTTAAATGATTGGGAATTGGGAAGAATGGCTGAATTCTTGGAAGTACTTGAACCTTTTAGAGTTTGACCCAAGGACAAGACAAACTACTCTGGAAAGCTCATAGCAAGGGTATCTTCACAGTGAACTCTTGTTATAGCCTATAGGCTGCTAAATTCTGTTGGAAATCTGGAAGAAAAATGCCCAATATAAAGTGGCATGCTTCACTTGGTTGGTGGCTAGAAAGGCTTGCCTGACACAGGAAAATCTACAGAAAAGAGGATTTAATTTGTGCTCAAAGTGTTACCTTTGTGGAGTCAAGTCTGAGAATGCCGGTCTCTTATTTTTGCATTGCCATATTACTGACCAAATGTGGCAGCTGCTTCTTAACATGGTGGGACTTAAATGGACTATGCCTAAAGACACTTGTGACCTGTTAAAGTGCTGAAGCGTTGAAGTAAGAAATACAGATCAGCAGAAGTGGTGGTATACCACCCCTGCATGCATATCGTGGACGTGGAGTTGGACTATATGGAACGAAATAAATGACAAATGATTCGAACTTCGAAGACAAAGGAAACTCCATTCAGAAGATAAAGATGAATTGCTTACTTTTGGCGTAAACAGGGTTATGTAAATGAAGCCGAAGCAATGATAGATCCCATGGATCCCTTTAAGTCTAGGAAGGGACACTCAATGGGACTCTCTGTAAATACTTTTGAACAACACCTTCTTGGCGCCCTTTTTTAGTAATACACTTACCTTTCTAACAATTTTTTTATATACTTAGAATGCAGGTCATTTCTTTCGAATGCCATCGCCTAATCTAAGTCATTTATGCCCTTTGGAACATTCAAATGTGTGTTCAATTATTCCAGAACCTGTTCATCTCATTTTTTGTTCTCTTTCCGTTGCTTTGCAGATCAGAAGTTCTTCCAATTTATTACGGCATGACTCTGTCCGCTGGTTCAGTAATGGCACGAGGCCTTCTGTGGAGAAGGGAGATGGTAAATTAGTAGACTTATTTGTTCTTGTTTATGAATTATCCACGTTATCATATGTTTGTCATTCTGAACATCTAATGGTCACTTATTTTCTTGTTATTGGCTCTCTCATGGTGGTGATGTTTTCATTTTTTTCCCCTTGTAATGATTGACTCAAATATGTGTGGCTTTTACAGATATTTTAAGGTGCCAGTCTGGTTTCAATAGATGCAACTCAGGTTCAGCAGTCTCCAACAACAGTTTTAGAGCAGTATCTCCCACGGTTTTGACTAAACCTCTATTTCTTTGTTACACTCCTTTTATAGCTTGATTTTCCTGTTGAATTTTGAGCAGCAATCAAATTATCTTAACGTGCTTCTAACTGTAGATGTCATTTGTGGCAACATATAATGGAAATGCTCTGAGAACTGCAATTGCTCCATCCGCCTCCACCGCTAGCATGGTTTTCATGAGAGGGTTTGTTCTCTGGCTTACTTCTTCTTCCCTTATAAATATTCTTAAAAAATAATTTTTTGATCATTCTCTTGAAGCAGATTCTGATTTTGTCTTCTTTGTGTCAGATCACAAGTGCCTTCAAGGAGGTGTTTCTCCACTGCTTCAGGTACTTGTTTTTGTGTCACTATGGCTTTTGGCTACTTAACTAGAAAATCTGTTCCCAGGGCATCCTCCGAAAGGCTTATAAACCATGCTTTATTTCAAAGAGCATTTATCTACTTTCTGCAACTTTAGTTCCTATTTTTATCGGTTAGGGTTCATGGGAGGACAACTTCATGTCAATGCACACTAATAGAATCATTTGCATTGACATTTACCCTATCTTCTGCTTTAGTTGTATTTGTGTCTGTTTTTCAAACTTGTTGCCAGATGCATCCTTCTTATCCTTAGTTGCTTTAATTTGGAAACATGGACCCAAAGAGGGAGAACCCTCAAATTTGGAATCAAATTAATCTTGTGTCTTCTTTGTTTCAGATTTTCCTCCACACCAAGAGATTGGTATGCCCTCTCTTTCACCTACAATGACAGAGGTATGTAGCTTTTCTCAATAAAGCTCCTTAGAGCATCGTTACTATTACTTATGTTTGTCTTAGCGCGTCAGTGGTTCCATACTTGTAATGCAGGGAAATATTGCCAGATGGTTAAAGAAAGAGGGTGATAAAGTTTCTCCTGGTGAAGTGCTATGTGAAGTGGAAACAGTATGATCATTTTTTAGCTTCTTTTATCATGATGTTGTTGAGGGAGTGTTCCCCCTATGTGTCTTAACTTCTGGATTCTGGTATTTATGCTACTCATTCAATCCCCATAGGATAAAGCAACAGTGGAAATGGAGTGCATGGAAGAGGGTTATCTAGCTAAGATTCTTCGCGGAGACGGAGCAAGCAGTATCAAAGTTGGAGAGGTATTGATGCTTAATCCAATTGATTGAGAGTACCAATTTGGACTGTTTATCTTGGTGTTAGATAATTTAGACCTTAAGTCATGTAGTAAAGGGACTCACAGTCATTTGTATTGTTGAGGGGCTCACCATTATCTGTATTGTTGAATTTTTCACTTGTTAGTTCAGGATTTTCACTGTGTGGATGTAAAATCTCTACGTACTTGTATAGATCTGCATTTATATAGTTGATGAATCACACAGCACATTCCACCACAAAGGCTAATGCTTGGTCCTTCTTGTCCTTTCATTTGACTTATATTCTAGTTCGAACTTTGTTTCTAGGCTGGCACTTTGCTGAACCTTTGATATTTTAGCTAATAGCTGAATAGTGAACCTGACAATTCCCCTATTTTATGATGTAATCCATCAGGTCAGTCACAATAGGCTCCTAATCTCAAATAGTTGACCCAGCAGAACTTCTTTCCTCTGTGAATCTTATTGTGCCTTGAGCTACATACCAAAAAAAGCTACATCATTGTGAGAATTAATCATAATTTTTGTTGTTTGATGAATGTTGGAAATTCTGTAGGTGATTGCTATTACTGTTGAAGAGGAAGATGACATTGCAAAATTTAAAGATTACCAACCTTCAACATCGGATGCTACGCCTTCACCAAAAGCGTCTCCTCCTCCACCTCCTCCCAAAGAAGAGGTCGCTGAGAAACCTGTCACCCCATCAGAGCCAAAAGTTTCTAAACCTAGTGCGCGTCCGGCAGATCGCATTTTTGCTAGTCCTCTGGCTAGGAAAATTGCGGAAGATCAAAATGTACTTATTTTCTTCAGTTAAATTTGTTTCGAAAATATGATTCAGGATAATATGTTTTAGCCTTGAGGTTAATTCTGCATTTGTATGAACATGAGCAGATACCTCTCTCAAACATCAAAGGAACAGGTCCTGAGGGACGTATTGTGAAAGCTGATATTGAAGATTATCTAGGTAACCTTCTTCCTAGACTGCATATATATACTTATAGGCTAGTTGATGTTACTATTGGTTTTATGTCGCTGAACTTATATCCTCTTTTTCTTGTGAAAGGAAAGATTCTTTTAAAAGTTGTTATGTAGTCCTAGAAGAATCAATAATCTTTATTTTTCCCTTGATAATGTAGCTTCTCGCGGAAAGGAAGCCCCTGCAGCAGCTCCCAAGGCTGAGGCATCTCTTGATTACACAGATATTCCTGTTTCACAGATAAGAAAGGTACTATTTACCCCTCTAGGGTATGCATCCTCGTGTTCCCAGAATAAGCCAATTTTAGATGCTTGTCTGTGTTATCTCCAATTAATCCCTTGTAAAAAGTGTGAGCCTGTTAGGTATACTTTTTGTTTACAAGCACAAGGTTTTGTCCTAGTTATACCAGTTTTGGTGTAATCTGTGCAGGTGACAGCTTCTAGGTTGCTGTTGTCAAAGCAAACCATTCCCCATTACTATTTGACTGTTGATACATGCGTCGACAAACTTATGGAGTGAGTATTACTTTCATTGTTCAACAGCCGAATTGATTTTTTCTGTTATTTATCTTGCCTGTTGCTTGGTCTGCAGATTGAGGGGCCAGCTCAATTCCTTGCAAGAGGCTTCGGGAGGAAAGAAGTTATCTGTTAATGATCTTGTAATAAAGGTATGAAATACTCCATTTAGATCCACTGTGCCACCTGACAAGGGCAAAGGAAAAGAGAGCAATGGTCTTGTTATCTCGTCTCAAGGAGTCGATTCTAGCCTTTCTGTATTTCGTGAAGGGTCCAGAAAAGATAGAAAAAGTCTTGTCAAAAACCAAGAGAGAGAGTACACATGGACCTCTGTGCCAAAATTTGAGCCGGAATGTCGTAGATTTCTCTCATACGAAATCTGAATAACTTCTAACTTGCTTTCGTAACTACTGCACCTTGTCAAAAAACAGATACTCCTCGGTCCCGTCATATATGACTTTTAGAAACTATTTGGAAGTCAAACAGATTTTCTTGGCTACATTTTTCTGGAAAATAAATATGTTTACCTGTAAAAAGTTGTATTGTTCTCTTTATAGGCAAAGAAGTTGCAATTTTTAGTAGTACTTTGAATATAGTTTCTAAATATGTAAATTCTACACTTATGTTGAAGAAATTGGTGTAAATGTGTAAATTTTACTCTTATGTTGAGGTCTTTTGACCACAGTTTAGACTTTTTTTGGGAATGGAAGTACATAATATGGGGTGTATAAGAGATATTGTCATCAGTTATTTGTAATGACCTCTGTAGCTTCATTGCAGGCTGCTGCTTTAGCTCTTCGAAAAGTTCCTCAGTGCAACAGTTCATGGACCAATGATTACATTCGCCAGTAAGTGGAATATATGAAGCGAGAAGACTTCTGTAGATGAAATTTGCTATGTATATTAATAGTGCATTTTTTCTTGCAAACACAGGTATCACAACATAAATATCAATGTAGCAGTGCAGACTGACAATGGACTTTACGTTCCTGTTATCAGGGTTCATTCTCATCCCAGTCTACTGCTTATAATAATTGGATATATCTTGATTCTTACTACCGGTTATATTTCATCTTGGGAAATCTTCATTGTTGGCAGGATGCTGATAAGAAAGGTTTATCCACTATTGCCGAGGAAGTGAAGAACATAGCCCAGAAAGCAAAAGAGAACAGCTTAAAACCACAGGATTATGAGGTGTGCATTGCAGTTTAATATCTTCTTTTGCATAGTTGGACAAAAGTATATTTTATTCAACTCTTTTTTTTTTGTTTTTCACAGGGAGGGACGTTCACCGTCAGCAATTTGGGAGGGCCTTTTGGTATTAAACAGTTTTGTGCCATCATTAACCCTCCACAATCAGCCATCCTAGCTGTTGGTTCTGGTAAGTTTGCATCTCATTGAACTGATTTATTTCAGCTGTATATCTTGTGCTCATCACCACTTGCTCTTGAGCAGCTGAGAGAAGGGTGATACCTGGTTCGGACCAAGACCAGTATAAGTTTGCCAGTATGATGTCTGTAACACTGAGCTGTGATCACCGGGTGATTGATGGTGAGTGACTTGACTGGCTATTAGATAGTTGGTTCTTCCCATCCAATTCTTTAAAAAGCAATTCACGATTAACCTTAATAATTTCCTTTTGTCTAGGCGCAATTGGTGCACAATGGCTCAAAGCATTCAAAGGCTACATAGAGAGTCCAGAGTCTATGTTACTGTAGATTGATGCTTCTTTTTTTTTGTTGTTGATCCTTTGAATTCTTCACGTTTTCCTCAACAAATGGGATGAATTTTGATGTATGATAAGTGGGATTTGATGTGCCAGCCTGATCTTATTGCTTGATATAAGCATTATTATTAGGGGAAAGTGGCTGAACAAGTTGGGAATAAATGAGGCTGCAAGGCTGTGTACCATTGATTTAGGCTTTTTGTGGCGCAGAGTGTAAATTCCAGTTTTTGCTCGAGGTCATTGAGTTGATAGAATACTTGCTGGACATTCATTATTTTAATAAGATTCACTAATCTGTTCAATATGAGGCTGTTGCTTGAATCCATGATTATCTTCTTGATTAACATATGGGTACAGTTCTGTCTGTTTCAATATTAGTGCGGCAAATGCTTTAAATCAGCTGGATAAGGAGAAGCCATGAAACAAGATCGGATTGATTTTTGAACTAAATTTCCACCCCCATAATCATATAGAAAAGTTGAAAGCTACTTGAATAAAAGACACATACATTTTTTCCCTCAATCTTTGCCTCACTAGTGTAATACACAACCAAGACTAGGCAAATTTAGTGAATCCAAATCAATCTATCTGCTAATGTGAGCAGTGAAGGAACTGAGTTCTAGTTGAGAAACACCTCCTCCATTTCTTGATTGCCAAACTTCTCTGCCCAACTTCTCAGCCCTGCTTCTTATCTCCTTCCCTTCTTTAGACACCATCAATCTATTTACAACTTTATCAATTGTTAATGAGTTGACCAATTCCATTTGATGTGCTTGTTCTGTCACTTGAATACCAACTTCTAAAATATCAGTTATTAGTGTAGCATTCCATGGTTGTTCAGAGTGCATTGGCCAAGCTAATATTGGAACTCCCATTGTAATACTTTCCATGCATGAATTCCAACCACAATGACTCATAAATCCGCCAATAGAAATGTGTCCCAAGATTACTAACTGTGGTGCCCAATCTGTTACAACCATACCTATCCCTTCCATTCTTTCTTCATACCCTATTGGTATTCTTGCTTTTCTTGTTTCTCCATCAAAAACATTTCCTTTATCTGCATCTCTCAACACCCACAAAAACTTTTGCTTGCTCCTTTCTAACCCCATAGCCAATTTGTTCATCGGTCATTGTAGTTGCCGATCCAAAAGAGATATAAAGAACTGATTTTGGAGCTTGTTTATCTAGCCATTCCAAGCTTTTGTGCATGTTTCTTGAATATTTGCCTGTAATAATTGTCAAATCTGGTAGTATAGGTCCAATAGCCCATTGCTTCTTGTTTGCATTCATTTCCAACTTGTTTAACATATCAACATAAGTTCCTTCAACCAATCTGCATGAGTTGAATAAATCTCCTGATCTGTAGTGCATAAACTCATACTGATAAGCCATAAAATTCATGATTTCAAAGGAAAAACACCCTTCCATTGATGGTAGATTTTTTGGCATTCCCTCAACTGGAAAAGGTCTTCCAATAGCTTCCCAAAAGCTAAAGAATTGAGTGAAAGCAGAGATGCAATTGAAGGCATAGGACTCCGCATTTGGAATGGAAGAAACATCTTGCACCACAGAAGACATAAGAGGGTCATGTATAACAACAATTCTTTTCACTTTGTTGGAGAATTTATGTAGGAGATTCGAAAACGGTTCGCGTAGCTGTTTAGAGGCTTCAAAAGATGGTTGAAGATGTGTTGGAAATTTTGAGATTGAATTTTGAACAGGAGGAGGTGACTCAAAATCTGGAGTTGGGAATTCATGAAACTGAATTTTCTGCATATCTTGAAGGTTTCTTGATTTAGCCTGCTCAATGTGAGTTTTGAAGCCAACAAAATGAATTGGAATTCCATATGAAGAGATCAGACATGAAAATTGTAGCAGTTGGTTAAGATGGCCTTGTGCTGGAAATGGCACTAAAATACAACAACAGATTCCATACTTCTCTTCTTTACTCAGATTTATTTTTTGGGCAAGTTCACTGGTCTTACTTGTGTAGATATTGATGAATAATGGACCATGTTTTATAGAATTTGTTTAAGTAGAGATAATATTTCTTGGTTTCCAAGGAAAATGAAGTCAACAAAAGAACATATTTTAAGGTAGTCTAAAGAATAGGATAAGAAAACTGAACTTTGTCAGACTAAGATATGATTTTAAAAACCTGAACTTCACCTCATCATCTACAACATATATGGCAGATGTTGCTTTCTATATTTTATTTGCTTCTCAAGAATTAGACTTCTTGTTATTTTTAATTGAATAAAACAAATTCATTGATGGTATAAGCCAAACTGATGCCAGCACTTTTTTACAATTGAATGGAAAATCAACTTTGTTAGACTCATACATACACCTTCCATTTTTTTAAAAAAAAATTGGAATAATATGATGATCCTTTGCTTTCTTCCTTTCAACCTTTATCTTTTAAAAGTGATGGATAGAATAAAAAATAGGGTGATCTTGAAATTAGGAAACTTTACAACAACAACAACAACAACAAGCCAGTATAATCTCATTAATGGGGTATAGGGAGGGTAGTGTGTACGCAGACCTTATCCCAACCATGGGAGTAGAGAGACTTTTCGATAGACCCTCGGCTCAAGAAGAAGAAAAGAGACAATAGATCCGTAACAGCAACAGAGGCCAGAAAGATAGTACCAACGACGTCAGAAACAGAAAAATAAAAGAATGTTAGAATAGTCATGTAAATAGGAGTAAATAAATAACCCTAATCCAATATATATTAGGAGTAGGACATGTTATGTGTGTGTATATATATAGGGTTCATTGTAACATATGTCAATACATCAATAATATATTTTCTCCCGTGCATTCTCACATGGTATCAGAGCAATTGTGAGAGATTTATCGCTGTGCATAAATTCCAGCGATTCCGGGAAGAGAAATCAGTCACCGGAACCCTTTTTTCCAGCGACTTTTTCAAGCCTGTTTGCGTCTGCTTTGTCTCTGTCAGTGTTGTGCAAAATCCAACACTACCACAAGAGTCGCCACTGTCCGGCGACCAAACCCCACAAAAAATCTCCGGCAAACAGTACCCCACGCGCCTCCACGCGCCACCAGAAGCTCACGCGCGTGAGCCCACGCGCCGGCGCATGCACCACTTTCCGGCCATTTTTTGACGAAGTTCCTTCAGGGCAGTTGGATCGCCCTCAAATTCCGAGCCTACCCATAATTTTATTTTTCAATTCCGACCACTTTGAGTTTTTCCGGCGACTACACTGATTTTTCCGGCAGCTACAGTACTTTTCCGGCAAACACAGTGTTTTCTTCCTCTGTTTCAGAGAATTTTCAGTTGATTCTTTTTGTTATTTGGTGATAATCCAACCATGTCTTTGGGAGTCGATGCTTTCGGGTCTAGAAACCCGTGTTCTGGCAGTTCTGGTGTTATGATTACCTCAGAACCTTTAATGGGAGGTTCAAACTACTTAGATTGGGCTTCATCTGTCGAGTTGTGGTGTAAAGGTCAAGGAGTTCAAGATCATTTAACAAAAAAGGCTAGCGAAGGTGATGAAAAGGCCAAAACACAGTGGGAGAAGGTCGATGCTCAGTTATGTAGTATCCTGTGGCGATCTATTGATTCCAAGTTGATGCCCTTGTTCCGTCCATTCCAGACATGTTATTTAGTTTGGGAAAAGGCTCGTAATCTATACACTAATGACATATCTCGTTTCTATGATGTAATATCGCGAATGACAAGCTTGAAGAAACAGGAATTAGATATGTCTACTTACTTGGGACAAGTTCAGGCAGTCATGGAAGAATTTGAGACGTTGATGCCAGTTTCTGCTAGTATTGAAAAACAACAAGAGCAACGACAGAAGATGTTTCTAGTTCTTACACTCGCTGGACTCCCTAATGACCTTGATTCAGTACGTGACCAGATTTTGGCTAGTCCAACCGTCCCCACAGTTGATGAATTATTCTCTCGATTACTTCGCCTTGCTGCAGCACCTAGTCACCCAGTGAGCTCATCACAGACACTTGACTCATCTGTCCTCGTATCCCAATCAGTGGACAATCGGGCATCTCATACTATGGAGAATAGACGAGGAGGAGGTCGTTTTGGAAGATCTAGACCCAAGTGCTCTTATTGTCATAAACTTGGACACACTCGTGATGTATGCTATTCTTTACATGGCCGCCCAACCAAAAATGCTTATGTTGCTCAGACTGAGACTACAGGTAACCAGGGATTTTCTTTATCTGAAGGGGAGTATAATGAGTTCCTTCAGTATCGAGCAAGTAAGCAGACATCTCCACAAGTAGCTTCTGTTGCTCAGACTAATACTTCTGTTGCTGGTAATTCTTTTGCTTGTGTTTCCCAGTCTAGTCCTCCTGGACAATGGGTTGTGGACTCAGCCGCTTCTGATCATATCTCTGGTAATAAATCACTTTTGTCAAATATTGCGTATTCACAGTCTCTTCCCACTGTTACTTTAGCCAATGGGTCTCAAACCAAAGCAAAAGGAGTTGGACAAGCGAATCCCCTACCCTCTGTCACTCTAGATTCCGTTCTCTATGTCCCTGGCCGTCCTTTTAATCTTGCATCTGTTAGTCGTTTGACTCGTGCCCTCCATTGTGGTATATATTTTATTGATGATTCTTTTATTATGCAGGACCGCAGTACAGGGCAGACGATTGGAACAGGACTTGAATCAGAAGGGCTTTACTACCTTAACTCCCTAAAATCCTCCAAGGCATGTCTAGTTACAGATCCTCCGGACCTAATTCACAGACGTTTAGGACATCCAAGCTTATCCAAGCTTCAGAAGATGGTGCCTGGTTTGTCTAGTTTATCCACATTAGAGTGTGAGTCATGTCAGCTCGGGAAACATACCCGAGCCTCCTATCCTCATAGTATTGAGAGTCACGCAGAGTCTATTTTTTCTTTAGTTCACTCTGATATATGGGGTCCTAGTAGAGTCAGTTCAACCTTGGGATTTCGTTATTTTGTTAGTTTTATTGATGATCATTCAAGATGTACTTGGATTTTCTTAATGAAAGATCGTTCTGAGTTGTTTTCTATATTCCAGAATTTTTGTGCTGAAATTAAAAATCAATTTGGTGTTTCCATTCGCACTTTTCGCAGTGATAATGCCTTAGAATATTTATCCTCTCAATTTCAGCAGTTTATGACTTCTCAAGGAATTATTCATCAGACCTCTTGTCCTTATACCCCTCAGCAAAATGGGGTTGCAGAGAGAAAGAATAGGCACATCATTGAGACTGCTCGCACACTTCTCATTGAATCTCATGTTCCGCTGCGTTTTTGGGGCGATGCAGTTCTCACAGCTTGTTATTTAGTTAATCGGATGCCTTCCTCTCCCATCCAGAATCAGATACCGTATGCAGTATTGTTTCCCCAATCACCCGTATACTCTGTTCCCCCTCGTGTTTTTGGGAGCACTTGTTTCGTTCATAACCTAGCCCCTGGGAAAGATAAGTTAGCTCCTCGTGCTCTCAAGTGTGTCTTCCTTGGTTATTCTCGTGTTCAGAAGGGATATCGTTGTTACTCACTTGATCTTCGTAGGTACTTTATGTCCTCTGACGTCACATTTTTTGAGTCTAAACCTTTCTTTACCTCTTCTGACCTTTCTAACCCCCTTGATATATCTGAGGTCTTACCTATACCGACCTTTAAGGAGTCTACTATAGCTCCTCCTTCACCTTCCGCCACAGAAGTCTTACCCGAGTCTCCTATAGCTCCTCCTTCACCTTCCGCTATAGAAGTCTTATCCATTCCAGCCGTTGAGGAGTCTAGTGTGGCTCCTCCTAGACTCCCTGCCACAGGAACACCACTTTTGACATATCATCGTCGTCCGCGCCCAGCATCGGGTCCAGCTGATTCACGTCCTGCACCTGACCCTGCTAATACTGCGGAATTGTCTCCTCTTAATCAACCGATTGCACTTCGGAAAGGTATACGGGCCACCCTTAATCCTAATCCCCATTATGTCGGTTTGAGTTATCATCGTTTGTCATCACCCTATTATGATTTTCTATCTTCTTTGTCCTCTGTTTCCATCCCTAAGTCTACAGGTGAAGCATTGTCTCATCCAGGATGGCGACAGGCTATGATTGACGAGATGTCTGCTTTACATACGAGTGGTACTTGGGAGCTCGTCCCTCTTCCTTCAGGTAAATCTACTGTTGGTTGTCGTTGGGTGTATGCAGTCAAGGTTGGTCCGGATGGTAAGGTTGATCGTCTTAAGGCTCGTCTTGTTGCCAAAGGATATACTCAGATATTTGGGCTCGATTACAGTGATACCTTCTCTCCTGTGGCTAAGATAGCATCAGTCCGCCTTTTTCTATCCATGGCTGTTGTTCGCCATTGGCCCCTCTATAAGCTGGACATTAAGAATGCTTCTTTACACGGTGACCTTGAGGATGAAGTTTATATGGAGCAACCACCTGGGTTTGTTGCTCAGGGGGAGTCTCGTGGCCTTGTATGTCGCTTGCGTCGGTCACTTTATGGTCTAAAGCAGTCTCCTCGAGCCTGGTTTGGTAAGTTCAGCACAGTTATTCGAGAATTTGGCATGATTCAGAGTGAAGCTGATCACTCTGTATTCTATCGGCATTCTGCCTCGAGTCTCTGTATTTATCTGGTGGTCTATGTTGACGACATTGTTATTACCGGCAATGACCAGGATGGTATTACTAAATTGAAGCAACATCTCTTGCAACACTTTCAGACTAAGGATCTGGGCAAACTAAAGTATTTTCTGGGTATTGAGGTCGCTCAGTCTAGCTCAGGTGTT